AAAGAGTGCTTTGATGGCGTCTGCTGCCACCTTGAGTTCTACTACGTTTATGGTGAAGCTTGCTCAGCCCATAGGAAACACTACATACTACAAGTGGTGTTACATAAAAAGCTAAATACTATTTCAACTATCTGAATTGGGTCTTTTTGTATTTTCAGGCATATCCGGTTCTGTAAGTAATAGCCCTACCTCCACACCTTCAGCTCATGACACATTAAAACTCCAGACATTACAGAAATCTATCCTGCTTTCAGGTCTAAAAAGGAATTGAAAGTTTATACTGAAATACAGCACAACCTAGTCTGCTTTGGTGACTTTCCTTGTTGCTTGTTTGAGGGGGGGAGAACAGGGTGGGCAGGGAATGGACACCATTCCTACATGAAGAAATAAGACTAATTTGTTGAAGAATAAAATAGCAAAAAGTTATCCCCTATGGTGTGACAGTTTTCTCCTCTCAAGTTGAGAAGATATTTTTAGAGAGAGAGTAGGAAAGCTTGGAACAATTGTGTTAGCTGTCAGCTGAAAATATTGCTGCCTAAGCTGAAAAGTCTGGGGGTTTTATTCCCCTAAATTTCTTTTTGTAAATGAGAATATGTTTTTGTGAACGTTAATTTAGCTTCTGTGTTTTATTCCTCTGTGCTCTCCAGGAGTAAAAGCACAGGAAGTTGTGGATTCCTCCTGTCTTATGTGCTATAAAGCTCCCTCCTCCTTCACAAGAAAAAAATCATATCATCCTGGATTTTAAAATGCCATTGCTATGGTGTTCAGGAATAACTGTTATCTACGCATACCTGAGGTCACTAAGTTGGCAGAACAAGACTTGCAGAAGACAGAAAATGTGCCTCCAAGTGGCAGAATTTAAAACCTGCAGCTGTTTAGAAAAGCTGAGAGATGGACAAATGAAAGGGCAGAGCTCAGGGCACAAAGATGAAGGATAAAAGTATTTTATGCTTTAGTGTGCATGAGAAATGGAAAAATACAACATGCTGCTGTGCTGTATGAGAGAATTATTGACAGACATTTGGGGTGGTTACAGAACATCCAAGTACATTGAAATATAACTCACTGCAAAGAAAAAAAAAAAAAAAAAAAGAAAAATCCAGAGAATGTGAAGTATATTTTCTGCTACAATTTAAATTTAAACCAATTTTATTGCTTTCCCCTATGGTTGGAATCATAATGAAAGGATGGAATGACCTAATTATTTAAGAAATACTACTGAGAAGGATCTTTTTATATAATTAAGGGACAAAAAGCAAATTCATTCCATTAGAATGATTTTTTCTGTCATGATTAAGACTACTAAACCATCTTACTGAAAACGTTCTACAGAAAAATTGCCACAAATTTGTGTAATGAAATAATGCATAACATGATAAAGCTATACTTTATCAAGTATGCAAAACAAATTCACAACTTATTTTAAAAAAGAAAAAGTGGGAAAAATTGTTTCTGATCCAATTCAAAAACCTTATGGAAATGCCCAGCCTCCATATAATTTATGTTATCATTTTTAGTATAACTAATAAAGCCCATAAGTACTATAAATAATTATAGCTTAACTAATTTCTAATGTCATTCATGTTAGACTTCTTTTACACATTGCTGTAAAAACTAATCTGCACAAAGAAGCATTATGATGCATTCTAATGTTTTCAGTATCACAGAATAATGCAAAGGTCTCTCCCCAGGAGACTCCAGAACTTTTAATGTTCTATAGCCTTGTTTACATTATACAGCCCTGTTTGATGACTGTTAAAAATTTGTCTAGGTTATATTATCTGAGTTCCAGTAAATCTGAAACTCCAAAGAAGTCATTCTACTTATTTTTTCCATGAAGTAAATATCTTCTTGCTGAGTGACAGGATAAAATGATCAGACCATTAGCTGTTGAGCTTTACTAGTAATACTGATTTTTTTATTTTTATTTTGTAAAGACATACTGGTGGGTATAACAGCAGTGAATCTCTAAGATCACAGGGTCCTCCTAATCATATACTTACACCTTTATGTGAATTATCTTATCTCAAGACTTCACATAGCGCAAGAAGTTCAAAAGTCTTAGAGAATTAAAAGCCTAGGCAACAGGTTTCATTTCTATCTCAACATGAGCAAATACTACGATACTCCATACAGAACAAATTTAGGTATTGCAGGCTTCTTTGGAATAAATATTAAAGCAAGTGGAAATAAGATTGGAAAGACCAGACATATTTCTTTACTAGTAAAGGAATTTACCAGGGATAGAAGCTTGTGCAGATGAGTTTTCTATATACAGCAATTCCACCAGATGCAATCCCAATCATGAGATCTAAATTATGGAGATCCTGCAAAAGAAAAATATAGGAAAAACACAGATGCAGTTTGTGTCATTCCCACTTATCTACTTATAAATTAATTTTCAAGTTTTCTATGCTTAAGTTGCTAATCCTGAGGCAAAAATTCAACCACATATTTGGATTTCTCTTCACACACACCTCTTTATTCTGATGTTATCTACTAGGTATAATTAACTTTCACTCAATAAAACAAGTTATAATATTCATCTTACTACACTAGATATACTTTAGATCAGTATCAAACTAAATTTTCAAGTCCAGCCTTAGTTTAACCATGGGAAAGAAGTCGAACTACTTCCCAAGATCAGTTAAAGTAAATGTCACAGAATTTTGGGAACTGAACGCAAATAGCTGTTTCTAAAGACAAATGAAACAATTCCTTATTTTTTCCAAAAAGGTCTTGCCAGCAAAGAATGGGCAGGAGGTAGCCACAGTTCTGCATATGAGGGAATATGCTAGAGGAATATACATGTGTAGATGGATACTTGACACACTAAAGTGAATCCATTGTTAACTAAACTAAAAGCTGAGCATTAGCTTAACACGCTTATCTGGAAAAATTAATCCACACATTTACAGTCCTTTATAGGTATTGAGAAACTCAAAAGGAAACAATGCTTCCATTTAAGCAAATGCTTGAATTAAAATGTTGGGGAGGACACTGAATTGTCGAGTCTAAAACGGATGTTACAAAAGTTACAAATCTTGGCTTCCTATTTCTCTGTAATCAATACATACTAATACGCTATTAAACAAATCTGTAAACAGAGCTGGACACATGCATAAATCTACATTAAGCATAGAATCCATCGACTAAAACATTAGGCTTGACTCAAAAGTAGTTGCACACCATTTTTTTAAGGATGAGCAAAAGTAATGGATTCTGTTAAAGACTTCAGTAGCTTAGATGCTCCTCTAGATGGTACTCTGTGCTCAGTTAATACACAGTTTCCTTGTATGTCCAATCCCAATTTCTTTATATTAAGAGAGTACAGAAGAATAAAACAGATAGCATGTGCTCTAATACTATAGAAAATCTACAATAAATCCTTTAAAAATAGTTGCATAGAAGCATGATAATGGCACATGAATAAATGAAGTTGAACTGAATTTGCATTATTATTTACAAACCTCCACTGAAACACCAGAACAGTTCATAGAGAATGAGCATAATCTATTTAATATATAGCGCATTAACATTGAATACTGAGATGAGAGGAATATCAGTGCTATCTCTAAGAGCGTAATAAAAGAAAATCATTAGGTAGTTAGCAGCTCAAATATGCCCAAGGTAGCCCAGAATCAGCTGAAATTATTAGTAGTCCTCAGCTACCTGCTGCCCCACTTTGCCACAGAACTGTTGCTAGAGGAGCTGGTTGAATCTCCATTGGAGGAAACTCCTGAACTGCCAGTTTATGCCAGCATCATGCAGAAATCCAGAATTGACAGGCCTTTATTTTAACACTTGGGGAGAAAACTAAGATATTTCAGGAGATAAACTGCATGTACTTTAGCTGCCCCTGCCATGATACAGCCAACCCAAAGCAGGGCAAAAACTTGTATTATTAGCACTTAGAGCTTTACTCCAGGTTCCTGCTTTTAAAAATCGATACTGATTTAAAACAGCTTTAGGAGAAAAAGCTGAAAACCTAAATGATTTAGCAGAAATAAAGGATTAGCTGAACACTTGATAGGGATTACTTAGGCTAAACTACTCTATTTTCTCCAGGAGCTTTGCCAGAAAAAAAATTAATTCCCCACTCCGCCATGTCCCCCATCCAAAATACTAGTCTCCCATGCTATCTGCTATAATGAATTCTCTGGTGTTATACCTAAGAAATCCAAAACCAGGATTCTGTGATTCTATGAAATCCCAGCACCCAGTGAAATACCATGACATGTTTCTTATCAGTGCACACCCTGTATCTGAAATATCTCAAACTGATTTTTAGTGGCCATCTTCCAGACTGTTAAGTACTGCTTATATTTAGCCTGGAGTCAGGCTAAATACAAGAATAAATTAAAAAAAAAAAAAACAACCAAACAAAAAACCAAAACCAAAAAACAAACCACAACCATACTTTCTATATTCTTAACAGAGAAAGTGAACTCTTAAAACACCTGCAAACTACATCGTAACACTAAACAGAGCATTCAATTTCTTTCATGCTAAGACAATCATAAACTTTAGTAAAATTATTAAGTAAAATATTTTGCAGTATTGAAACAATTTATGTTAAAAATACACTTACTTCTTCAAGGAGATCTAGCTTAAATGGTTGAAATTTTAACACCTACATTATATTAAAAATGTATTAAAAAATTACCCAACTCTAAATAAAATGAACACACATTAAAGTCAATACTTAAACACTGGTGTTTTTTTCTGCTATTAAGTTCATGTAAAACACACTTTTTTTTTTCCAAGTGAAAAATCACAATGTAAACATACTCTACCACTGTGCAATTCCACTCCATAGAATTCAAGTGTTCGTGCTATATTTATGTAGCAGGACTCTGCTTCAGATTGCTTGAGGCCACTGAAAGAAGGAAAAAAGAAATATATATTGGCCATAGTAAAAAATATTATATTTATTTCAAATGTGGAAAAACAGAAGAAATCCACAGGCCAATGCCTGACAAATAAACTTCATTAACTAGTGCCACGAGTTCTTCAGTGGCAAGGGCCACCCTAAACTCTTCTCAAAAATGGAGCAAATTACACCTTAGCTATTCTGGACCTGTTTGTCTGAAAAATGATTTGTATTTGCTTTGTTTAAAGGGATGAGCAACCAATTTCCCAATAAAAACTTCCTTTATGACAAGAAGCTGTATCTGTAAGTACTCTATATTGCATAGCCTCTCAGAAAGAAGTAATTTAGAAGAAAGATTAGAAACAGGAATGTCTAAAAAACATAAAGGGAGAAAGAAAATTAAGTTACAGTTACGAAATTCACAAAGGATCAGCCATCTGAGATTATCTACTATCTATAAATCCTAAAATACTTTTTTCTTCTGCCACTAGATACGAATTGTGCTGAAAGACTTACAAGGATTCTATCTCTGGGTCTTCTAGAAAGCTTCTATGACTCTGACACTATTTTCCCCCCAGTGACAAGAACTCAAAAATCCCCATACCTCAAGTAAACATATTGTATATCTTCGTGGAAAAGCTACATGGACTCTACTAGGAGTTTTCAAAACCAAAGAATCCAATCAGTAATCCATTCTCATCAGGTAAGTTACTGGTGCTTTATCTAGTCAAAACCGTGTCTCAGACATAAGTATTTACTAAGAACGCCAAAGGAGAATGCAAGAAATACTGCCAGCATATACAATAATTTGTCTGCTTCTCCCTGCACTCTGAAATAAATAGTATTGAAGAGCTAAGTTTCAAAAAAGGTGTTAAAACAATAAAAAAGATTTTTCCAGTGTAGTCTGCTCAAGTATTTTTACTCAGAACTTCAGTTACCACCACCTACTTTAAATCTCTTAGTCATCAAGGCTTGACTCTACCAAAACCACCCAATGAAAGCATCAATTTTACTGAAAAGATCCAGGATAAAAAAAGGCGTCTTTCCCACAGACCTCACCACATCTCTGTCTGGACCACATCTCTGTCTTTTCTCTGCAGGACACAACCAGTTTTGTATCTCTGACTATGACAGCACTAAATACATGAATTCAACCAAACCACTTCAATACTCTTCCCAGTGTCTGATATGATGCTTTCTAAAGAAAAGCAGATTTATTCATGCCTGTTTACAAGTTTCCCTCTAAAAATTTCTGAGCCTACAGGAAACTGCTAATTAATTTGAAAGCAGAGGGCTTCTGCTGTTGCTTTCCTGAACACCAACTGCTAGGAAAGGAGCCTATATTAGGTACCTACACAGTCTGTTGTACTGAAACTACTAAGATCTTTAGTCTTCCTTATGGCATCTTTTTTTTTTCTTCTTCTTTAAAAACTCAAAAGGTGAGGGACACCTAAAAAGTTATATGTTACCTGTGTTGCTCATGTAGCGATTCTACTTTGGTAAGAAAATCTTTGTTCTGCTCTGGTATAAAGCTGTAATTTGACAGATATCCTGAATGATGTACTGAAGGATTATAGTCTCCAAGTTGTGCTGTTAGGAAACAAGAAAGAGATACACAAAGTTTTCGTAGTTAATTGATTATTATTTAGAAGGAATTCCTTCTCCTCATTAAAACACATACAAATACAGGGAAATGCAAGAATTACAAATTATTTCCCAACAGACAAGCTGTGTTGAACACAGGGAATTGTATGACCTCAATGAAGAAAGGTTTTTCAAAATACACTTACCGTAACTCTAATCTCAGACACTGAATGACTCAATACTTTATTTAGTTGCTTATATAGCCTCACTTTTGCAACACAAGCTGTACCACCACCCGACAAGCATTACATGCCATAGCAGCACAGACATACAATACTGTAACATTAGAGAAAACCAAATTGCTTCAGGAAGAGACAGTAAATGAAATCAATTTGATATACATTGACTATAACATACTAGAAGTCTTCAACAAGATCTGTCGCTCAGAAAGCATCTACTATTCACACTGTCAGGTAAAAACTGTTCAAACTACTAACTGTGGCTCTATCCTAACAATTAAGTTGTTGATTTTGCCTGAGCTGAACACGAGTTATTTAAAGCACTAGAAATAACTGCTGACTTGCACATAACATTACCAAGATGCTACCAGAAGTAAATATATGTTTACAGTCAAATAAACTAAAAAGTTCCCTAAAACCTTATGCCTTCAAAAATTATATTAATCTGTAGGTGTTTGAAATATTTACTAGACAAAAGCTAATTCAGATCCGCAGCTGGTTGCATATCTGAAACGAAATGAAAGTATATATGACCATAAGTTTATAGCCTCAGTCTATGCAAGTTTTCTTTAAAAGCTAGGTTGGGTTTATATCCGGCAAAACAGATAAAAACCTTTTACTTGTTATGAAGATGCAAGCTTTGGGGCAGCAGGGAGGTTGCTTCAAACAATGTACTTTTCTGTTTGCCACAAATTTACCTAATTTCAATTAAACAAGTAATTCAAGCCCTGTATTTCAGGAGATTATGTTTTCATTAAATAGTTGAGATTTAACACAAAAAATTATGGTATGCTTAAGCAAGTAATTAAAACCTGTACTAATCTTCTTGTTCTCTAAAGACCATGAAATACTTTTTCCAAAGCATTAAAGCTTCCCAGAAGTTACTTATATGACTTGTAAATTAGCACAACAGAAAGTACTTATATAGACTGCAAACAATTGGGCATAGAAAGCCCCTCATCAGCTAAATCAAAGTTACAGAGCCTACTTTTAGGAACAATACTACTACCATTATTTTCCAGAAAATTCAAAGTATAAAAGAGTAATTTAAATGATTCAGGTTGGGCGGGGGAGGCAGGAAAAGTTGTGGACTTTAGAAATAACTTACAGTTACAATAACTATGGAGTATCTGTAATGCAGGGGATAACTAATACTTGCCCAGCTACACATTCAAAAAGCATGATATCTATAGCCTAGAAAACAGAATGTGATATAAAACAATTCCCATACAAATGCAGTCAGAAACCACTACAGTTGCACACCTAACTGTAAGCATCAATTTTATTTGATTTAAATAAAAAAAAAGGAATAATAAAGAGTAATTTATTTTGAATGCAGATGCTCCTGCAATGCTTAGTCCTTTCTTTTTAAAAGGTAGCCTGAATTTTAAATCAGTTTACAAAATGGCTGGCGAAAGACTAAATATTTACCATTAGAACCAAAACATATTTGAACACTTCTGTCAAATAACATATCCGAAGAAGAAAACAAAACAAAAAAACAACAAGACAGAAGATCCAGAAGTACAAGAAGAAATGGAAATAATTTTTAGGAATATCTGTATATTAACAAAAGTCCAAGTCTGCCAAGACACAGGCTATTGTAACAGTAAAAACAACAATTTTAAACTTTCTGAACAAAACAGGTATGTTAATAACTGCTTAAAAATAAAACACACAATTTCACAATGACAGTAATTGATTGAAAAAACAAACTTTTTCCTTTGTTAGTGATTAACACAACCCATCTTTTCTATGAAACACAGTCTGCATTTTTAAGGTTTGTTGCAGCAGGCTTGAGTTACATTCTTGTCAATGGGAAGAGGCCAGATTGCCAGAAATAAGACAACATAATTGTCCAATTTTATTTGCATTAGGCAAAAAATATTTTTTACTGTAGTTTTACCTTCTCTAAAGAGGGTAACTGCTGTTCTTTCATGCATTATGGGGTAGAGTCTTCTTGGTCATCTTCCAAATAGGGAGGGTGCTCTCATCTTTTTTTCCTCTTCCTCCTAGCTACCTGAGGTCATGTCAACAAGGGGGAGCAGTTTAGAGTACTACCTGCTTCTTCAACTCCCCAGCCAACTGTCACAGTTGAAGAGAAACTATAATGCTGATTAGTAGGCATCTCGGAGGACTAATGATCTTGTGCAAAATTTAATTATCCAAGTTGGGGAAAAAAATTAGGACATATCAGACCTCATATGTGACGTTTCTACCTCTTCACTGGATTTCTCCAGAAAAGAACAGAGGGGCAGTAAAGACCTATTTCTAATTTGAGAAATCAAAACCTACATTTATTTGAATATCAGATTTTTGTATTTTAGAGTTCTATGTCTAATATACAAAGCTTTAAAAAAAAGAATGTCATGGACCATTCATTTAGAAGGTCATACTCAGTAAAAAGAGGGCATTTATTTTATAATTCTTAATAAAAGAATAGTGCAATAGTCAAGTAGCCACAGAATAATTTTCCAAGGATAAATTCCCATGTTAACATACCAAAACAGTAGTTGTGCAAACTCTCAGTACAGTAAGAATTTATAAATGCTTGAAAAAAAAAACCCAAACCAAATAATCTTGAGGTCATGTATGTTCACATAGGATATTAGCTGCCTATGCCTTACTGAAGCCTAAACAAGCCATCTTTTCTTCAGAATGTAAAAAGAATTTGTTCAGTTAGATCGATGTCAAGGGTATATATTTTTGTCTCTTTCTCCTGACAGCAGAAAGACTTTTGTGCAGGAAGGCACCAAAGAAAAGGGCTAATTCAAATGTGTCTAACTGAAATGTGTGTTTATGTAGTATAGATACATTTTAATATGAATTTATGAATTCTATGGGCACCCATGCATCTTTCCTAGAAAGAGAAACTGGAGTACCGGATATACAGCTGCATAAAGGCGGGGGGGGATCTTCAAAAGTTTTTTCCCTTACAATCAGTTGTTTCAAAAAGTGATTTAAAAAAAAAAAAAAAAAAAAAAAAAAAGCCACTGAAGCCAACAATTCTTACGGTAATTAGAGGGGTTTCATCTCTTCAGTGGTCTCTTCCGAGAAACCAGTGGTCAGTTGGCTTACATACTAGGGTAAGGCAGCACTGATCTCATTTCTGTCTTCCGCTGTCCCAGAGGGAGGGTGCAAGGAAGACAGAACCAGATTCTTCAAGTTGCAAACCAACCAGTCAATAAATTTCAGCACTAGAAATGCAAAACTGAACTGGAAAGGCCCTGACCAACATAATCTGACTTTGAATAAGCCCCTTCCAAGCTAAATTTGCCTGTGGTTCTTAGGTACATTAAGCTACTTTTGACACTCAAGCTTTCTGCTACATGACCATGATAATTATTTATTTGGTTCCACTTTCAGACATCAATTTTTTTTTTTTAGTACCAAAATCCCACCATATTAATCCGGCCCAATTTCCAATTTGCCCCAGAAAACATAATAGTAGAAAAGATAAGCCTTTAGCTTTGTATAATTTAAAGTGTGACTGATTTCTACTTGTCATCGATGTGATATCCTTGAAGATACAGAAGACAAGTTTGTTTCCAATTCTAAACAGTGTGCTTGTAAACAATAATAATAAAAAAATCTGCATACAAAGTAATAGCACCAGAACCTATTTTTGCACATAGGCATTGCAAGTAACTATAGATGTCCGATAGCAAAAGTATGAATTGTATGTTGGCTAAGCATGAAGGGAAATCAATTACAGATAATATGGACAGTTGGGTCCAAAGGAATGATTACAATAGCTAGTCCTTGAAAATACATTTAATATCAACTTTCTAAAGACCCAAGAAGTGCACCAGAAAAAAATAATCAAGTAGCTTTGTATTGAATTCATAACTTTTCACAGAGTTGCCTGTTGTAAGTGACATCAATAAAGCACAAAAGTGAAATGAGTTGCCTGTTTTTAAATGAGGATAAATAAATAAGCAGATCAGGTCCCCAGTGGAACAGAAAATAACGAATGGGACAAGTCTAGAAGACGGGCTGAGAAACTGTCCTGGGTTCAGCTACAGCAGTCATTTTTTCTCCTTCTTAGTAGCTGGTGCACTGCTGTGGTTTTGACTTTCAGCCTGGGAACAACGCTGATAACACCGATGGTTTTAGTTGTTGCTCAGTAATGTTTACTCTGACCAAGGACTTTCTCAGTCTCATGCTTTGCCAGAGAGGAGGGGAAGCCGGGAGGAAGCAGAGGCAGGACACCTGACCCAAACTGGCCAAAGGGGTATTCCATACCACAGCACGTCATGCCCAGTATATAAACTGGGGAGAGTTACCCGAAAGGCCCAGATCGCTGCTCGGGTCGGGCTGGGTATCTCTTCGCTCTCGGTATTTGTTGTGTCGTAGTGAGCGGTTGTGTCCTCTCCCCTTGTTATTCCTCTTATCATTATTATTGGTAGCAGTAGTGGTTTGTATTATACCTTAGTTACTGGAGAGCTGTTATCTCAACCCGTGGGAGTTACATTCCTTCGATTCTCCTCCCCATCCATCCAGGAGCGGAGGGAGGAAGGAAGAGGAGGGGGAGTGAGCGAGCGGCTGCGTGGTTCCAAGTTGCCGGCTGGGCTTAAACCACGACAGTAACTGATTTAGCTTCTATCAAGGAGAAAAATCCTCAGATACAATATTCCAATCCAGGATTGAAATACAGTTAGGGCAGTAATGACTGATGTGCTGAGATGAGTGTTAATTATGATATTAGAGGGTAATGATAATTTTATCTTCATACGAACACTAAGGTACAAAAAGAAAAGATATTTCTTAATCTGTATGGTTCAATCAGTTTATATATTTTAAGTGATCACCTCCTGGCACAACTAGAAAACAGAAGAAAGATGATGCACTGCATAGCATAAGCTATTCTCAATAGTAACTAAAGTATTCAGGTATGAAAACGCTTTTGGATTCAGAAAATAATCCATGACATTATAGTTAAGTTTCAAAGAACCAACATGAAAATGTAGACACTTAGAGAGAGACTAAAAAGGAGCACTGAAATCACAAAAACACACGTAGATGTAGAGATTAAAGACACCATGTGGAAAATGGTTATCAGAAAGGGACTCCAAAAAGGACCAAAACCCTTGTAAGTGGATGCAGAGAGAAGGAAAGGTGTTTCAATAGTTGGAGCGTCTATCCAAAAAAGGACAAGAGAATGGAATCTAACCTACTCAGCCACTAAGTAAGCAAGCAAGCATGATGTTCCTACTGGACGAGCAGAACTATCATGTGGATAAAACTAACCTGTTTTGTAAAGGAAGAAAATGATTCACACTCAAGACCTTAAAAATGTTTGATGCAGGGATGACTAAGTAGCTGCTTATAACCACTTAATGACACTTTGTGGAAAGACAGAATAAGAAATTAGGCATTAATAAAAACAAAGGAACATTTGTAGGAAAAAAAAAAAAAAAACAACAAAAACCAACTACAGATGCACAGTGGTGGTCTCCAAGTTACCTATTACTACTCCAGAATGAAAAATGAGTCAGTGAATGTAACACATTATTACAGAACAAAACAAACAAAACCCCAGCAACTCAAACCCCAGTCACTGTAAACAACAAAATCACAAGTAAAAAGAACAGATTAGAAGTGTCATACTAAATTGCTATTTCTGCATCTCAAATACAGCGTGTACTTCAGAAACCACAGTCATTCTCAGAAAAAGTATTGAAAAAAGCAAAGTATAGTCCAAGGTAGAAAGAGTATTCATTTTACAAAAGTATGTGGATAAAAGACTTAAAGAAGTAGTTATTAATACTCCCAAAAAATTAAGAGGTTTTGCAGAACTAATGCATCTTAAAACTACTCTGATCTTCAATCATCTATGTTGTGTCTCTCAGCATTCAACAATTTTCATCATGAGTATAATACTGTACTACATGGACCTTGACTTTGGGTAACCATTCTTTTCCCCTTTTTAGTTATGTTAGACAGAAATATTTAATATGTTCATGACCTTAAAAATACAGAAGAATAGTACCAGGTCTACAAGGCACTGTAGATAGTCAGCTACTTCAGCTACAGCACTGACCAATATCCTCACCTGGGGTTCTCCACTCCAGAGATTACAGCATTGTACTTGAAGTGCTACAGATTCAAAAAAATATTTGTGGCATAGTGCAAGAACACCAGAAAAACAATAGTTGAAGCAATGATCCCTTGAAGTGGCTTCTATTGCTTTGCACAAGTATAAAACATAGTTAAGGGAAAACAGTCCAAAACAGCTGGAGAGCTGCTGTATTTGAACTGTCAGGACAGTCTTAGAAGAGCTGTTCTACAAAGAGATGCTAGCAAGCTCAAAAGAAGCAATCTAGACCACAGTGAACCATGTGGAAGAAAATGGGTATGTATTACAATTAATCTCTCCAAGAAGATTTTACTGGGAGTTTCATCACCATCACAGAGATAACACTCTGCTACTGGTGACAACAGGTACTGTAAGACATGATAAAAGGAACCCATGACTGAACAGCATTGCTGTAGGCTTAGAAGAACAGATGGGACACGCACAGAATCCTCAGCCTACCCAACATACATGGTAAATAATTTCAGACAATGGAAATTCAAGTCAAAGTCACCTTTATTCTTCCAGTCTGATTATGATTCTGAGCCATAAGGGCTACAGGTGCCCTGGAGAGTAGCAGGAACCTGACTGACCTCTGAGCAAATCTCTCTGTTTACATTATGACCTTCTGTGCACTATTTCACTTCGCAGAAGCACAAGAAGGGAGCACACACAGAGAAATATTCCCAAATGATATTATGAAGAAAGACAGGTGGCCATAAATTAGGAAGTCTGAGGTTTTGGTGTAGTATCTATAAAAAGAGAGAGGAGCAAAACAAAGGCAAGTTGGAAAAACTGGCAAAAAGAACGTTGATGGGGGAATTATGTGGTTCAACTCTCGCTGTGAAGCTGCTCTAAAACTTAAAGCCCACCTCCTCCTCTGGGATCTCAGTCTTTTGGTGTACCCAAAATTCTAACAAACTCTCTTATGCCTAGTTCCTGGGGGACTTGTACACTAAGTTCAGTTTTCCCAAAACCCTCACCCGCCTTCCTTTTCTTAGAAGAGGTTAAAGCCCATTTGAATCCCAAGTAACCAGTCAACCCCTTCCTGAGCAAACTCCCAAAGACAGCATACTAGAGAAACCTCCTGGTTCTCAAAGCAGAGCTGAGAGAGGAACAATAACACAGGAGATAAGAGAAAGACCCCAGCCATAATGAATCACTGAGCAACTGATGCTCAGGAAAAAGAAAGCTTAGAAGTATTCATAACATCTTATGTTGGCTTTGTTGCTGTGCTTTAGATACAAGTCCCAACCCAGCAAAGGATTTATGCACATAAGAGCACATTCCCACCAACCCATGGGATTTCTTACATACCAATAGTTAGTTATTTAAATACTGTTCTGGAAATGTGAATTTCCTACACAAAGTGATAGAAAACAAGTGGTGCTAAATCAGCTTTGTGTCATTTTGAGTAAAAACCAAACCAACCAAACAAAAAAATGGATGCACACACTGCATTGGTCCTTTATTTAGTTTTATAGACTATACAACATTCCCATTTTACTAGTAAAAACCAAGATGCATGATTTATCATTAGATTGGTTTTTTCAGTATGAGTATCATTCAGACTGATCAATTTTGGAATTATTTGAAATACACCTTAATAAATTCTCCTTTATAAATGATTTCAAAATCTATTGATCATTTCTGTCACAAACCATATTTACTGATAATAAACCAACAACTTATTCAAGTGCCTGAACTGTATTCATAATCAAGTTTAGTCACACACTACTTAGACACAGTATTCACACCCACTTGTACTCTCCTGTAACTTAGCATCACCAGTCAACAGGGTGTGCCACAGCAGTGCAGAGTAGCACATCAGAGCTTTACTTGAGAATCACAGCACTGAACCCAAACACCTGCACAAAGGACAATACGGAGAAGCAGCACTCAGAGGCACCACAGACATTACCACTGATTGTCCCTTTGCAAAACTCAGACAGTTTGTGAAGGTAAACCATACAATTGCCACATGTGAAAACTATAGTTAAAATAGCAAGAGCAGAAATACTGAATGTCAAGCTTCAATGAAAGACATCTGCCTCAGCCCTCCTGCCAGTGACAACTGCTCCACCTTTTAAATAAATAAACGTAAGTTTGACAGAGAATAATGATTTCCCTTCTGCATACCAGGGAAGTCAGAGAAGTAAGAAAAGCCTGAAAACCCACAAGAAGTGGCAGTAATAATAAACAGGCCAGGTAGAACTGATCCAACTTCAGACAATGGCTTTTTAATAAGCAGATACCTCATATCCCAAAACTTTAACTCTCCTTATTAAGTATGATTAGAAGTTAAAATACTAAAAGAAAATTATTTAAAAACAATTTAAGTTGACAAGAGTCCTAGAAAATATGACTAACAAAAGAGACCTACACAATCGGATTTCAGAAGGTCTTCCCTATGCCATCGCTACAACCTGGTAGCAAAACAAAACACTTTTATTTTCCTTTTCCTTTAAGGGAATATGTCTTTCACATGCTTCATACTTTGCTGAGGCAGAGAATCATACAAACAGCAAAAGAAAGGTCATCAGCTAGCAAAAAAAAAAAAAAAAAAAAAAAAAAAAAAAAAGAAAAAGTTGGATTTTTATTATTATTGTTTGGGGTTGTTTTGTGTTTGTTTTGGTTTTGACTTTTTTCATATGCATATATATATATACACACACACAGTCATATACATTTATATCTATTTTTTTTATATACAGAAAAAAAGACCCCCAAAATCAACTCCCCCGAGTGGGTAATAATAGCACTATCTGGAGTTAGGAAAACCCAGTTATTCTAGTCTGCTTTTGCCCGACAGTAATTTTTACAAATAGACAAACTCCACTAAACACTCAACCTGTTGGGTCTGGTTTTTTGTTTGTTTAATGAGAAAGTAAAAAACAGCTAGAAGAAGACGTCTCTGTTTAGGATGACTGTAAGGCATAGAATCAGGCATCATTTTGGTTTTCCTACAGAAGACACTGTTCTAATACCACCCTTAGACTTTCATTTTGCCAGTTGCAGGAAGACAAGAGGGATGTAAGTTTCATTATTTTGTTTCCAGTGACAATGAAAGCCTTCCTTTTTGTCAGCAATTCAAGCACACATAAATAAGAGCAATGTTTCTCTTGTATCAACTTTATTTTTTTTAAAAGACCTAACAAGTACACTTTTTCTATTTAGAGTGACTGAAAGCTTTTTTAATAACCTGCACCTTCTTTACAAAGCATCACCATAGCATTTTGAATATTCCACACATATATAAGGAAAGAAATCTTTCCTTATTTTTCAGCACCACACAGCAGAGAAGGTAGTCAGTCAAAGACATTTATTAACAAAATAACAATTGGTTATGACTTACATTGTACTGCATACGATGCCAGAACAACAGCAGAATTAATGGGGCATGACAACCTGGAGAGAGAGGAAAATGTTTTTGTTTAGACATAGAATGTATAAGTGTACTTTTAGCAATGTCTCTGCAATTAGTTCAGTATGTGAAGACTCGTTTACTTCAAAGAGTATCTGATTTTTTTCCTACAAAGTTTGATTGTCAAAACACAGTAGAACTGGACATTAAAAGCTAGTTGCTGTGCAACAGCTTAAGTGAATGGAAGTAACTAAACATAAAATGACATGTGTATTCTTGCTGGATGCTTATTTGGGAAAGCAAAAGGATAAGGGATTTTTATGGGGCTCTGGACATCACTTTAACAGCTGCAGTCTGGTGTACTTTAAACCAGACACAAACACCAAAATTTGCCAAATGCCAAGCACAAAGACAGCTCCGATCTCACGACCAGAAGTGACTCCATGGAAGAAAAAAGCCAACACCTAATGGCAATTTACATTTGGCAGCAGATACTCAGACCTCCTTTTTCCTCTCAAGAATGTATAATCACACAGGCAAAGGAACCACTGGGTATATGCCTACCGCAGAGGAAATATAACCCTGAAATCCTGAGAAATGATAGCAAGAGCCACACTTCGCTACTCCCTCCCAGTTACTCTACTAGACATTCCATTTGGAATACCATGCCTGGCACACCGTGTTTTTCAGACACACAGGATCTCCTACAGCTCCTTCCTTACAGGATTGTAAACTGTTCTTCATAAATGAGCTATATGAAAATTCATAATGTTTACCCTAGTAATCTGATTTTCTTTTAAAAGCAGTATTTCACAAGGTACATTTTTATAGCAACAACACTCTCAGAAAGAGGCTTTTTTTTTTCCCTTTCGTTTTGTTTTAGTATTGAATTTTATTTTAAAAAGAATTCTAGAGAAACTGAAGATTCTTCTTATTACCTTCCTTCCACAATATCAGTCTTCAATTGCAGGAAGAATAAGTGCCTAGAACAATTTTTTTGGAAAACAAAAACAAACATATGTTTATTTTCACATTTTAAAGGAATGGTTTAAATGGTTACATGCATTAGTTGTTTTGTTTTTTTTTTTTATTAAGAATTCCTGGCAAACTATGTGAACAGATGAATAAACCTTACTGGCATTTACAAATAACGCAATCATACACCCACTTACTCTCACAACAGTTTTAAAGGTCTTTGGCAGTCTGTACTACAACTCCAGGACCACAGCATTAATGCCACAACAAACACTACGAAACCCAAACCATTACAGAACTGGGCTCTTTTACTCCCAGTAATAGTCATCTTGGATATAACTTAAAAAGAAAGGCAACCCCAAACTGTGATAGTCTTGAAACTACTCAGTGGAGGACAAAACATTTCTCAAATAGGAGATGCTGACAAAAAGCTCTGAAATAGTTGTCCAAGAACAGTTCAGCCTTGCTCTTATTAGTGTGTTTGACAATGTTACGTTATAGTGATACTGAGGAGTTGGGATGTGAACCATATAGAGCAGGTCTTTGAATAACTTCAGTTTAAAACTGCAGAAGAGCTTACAACTGCATGATTAGCAAATACCAAAACAAGTCAACAGCAAAGTTTTCTACAAGAAGTATCATTTAACATGATCTACTATTTATATTCTCAAATCACTGAAATTAATAATGAAAGTTACAAAAAAGCCAGATTAATGGGCATATCTGAATTCTAAATTCCAAATGATAAGCACTGAACAAAAAAGTATTCAGTTAAAGCCTTGTGACAAGTAAATTGAAAATTGCCTATAATTCAGGTACACCACCACCCCAAAACCTCAGAGACAGGTTACAAAAGTAAATTTTAAAGGTCTTTTATCAACTGAAACATTATAGATCTTTGCATGTTACAAGTAATGGGCAAACTAGAAAACAAGAACTGTTATCTGTCCTTCCTGAAACAAAATAAACCTCACCCTCCCACACCCTCAACATTAATTCTACTACACATGTTCAAATCTGACTCAGTGTTGATACAAAACTTCTAACAAACCTAGGGCACACAGACAGCTTAATCATTGAACTTCCTTCTTTTTCAATCTTTGCATCTGATTAATTAAAGGATCCGGAAAGAAAAGGAAAAAAAAATGCAATAGGCAAGTACTTCAAGTAATGAAGGGCTTAAAAAAAAGAGTAAGGGGAATCCAACATGTAAATAAACTAACTGCCATTTTTGCACTAGCTTCTACTCCTGGCTGTATTTTGGAGTTGTGGGCTGTATATAACAGAAATCATTCACTATGAGCATCACAGCAAGCTGTCAATTCCAAACACATTGAATACAAAAAATTATAAAAAAGTTTTCAACCTAAGAAAGCCCACTTTGTCAAGCTGTGGAGATGGGAAAGAAGGGCTTTGCATATTCCTAGACCATGGAAGTAAACATCAAGCAGAAGTTACCTGGTTTGTTCTTGTTGAAGCGTGTTAGGATCAGGTATAAAAAACCTTACACGAAAACGAAGGGTGCAGGGAAAACCTCCTGCAATATTTTAGAAGAGCAAATCAATTTTTTGTTTAAAAAAAAAAAAAAGTTTTTATTTCTATATATACAGAAAAAATACATGAACCACATAGAAATCTCATGTGTTTTTCTCATGAATCTAAAAGAAACCATAAAAAGCATCTCCAACACCAACTATGAAAAGAAAATACTCTCAGAATTTGTGATGCTTTCATTTAAAGTACTTGGTATATGCTACTTTACCTAAAAGGCATTAGTTAGGTACCTTTACCTCGTAGGTATTAGATGAGAAAAAAGTGGCAAATATATTGTAGCATCTCAATTGGGATAATGTGCAATTCCATCTTACATATAAATACAAGAATAATACAGAAGTTCAGCATGTTAACATCTGTATTTTTATTTCAATTTGTACACAATCTATAGCATATTGTAGCAATAAGAGAGCTGAAAAACATAACTTGAGTTTCACAGCACAAACTAGGACATTGTCAGTCAGCCCTCCTAAATTGCTGTCTGGCAGGGTCATGCTGTCCTTCTTGGTAAGCATTCTGTATTACCCAAAGCTGTTTATAAACAACACATGCACTTGGAAGTGTGTAGTGTTGGGTTTTTGTTTGGGTAGGGTTTGTTTGTTTTTTTTAATAAAAACAAGCATTTTTTTTTTAATTATTATTATTCTACATGAGACAAGAATTTGCCAGAACCTATACATGAAGCTGGCTCCACTTCCCACAATCAACCCCCCTCCTCTTCTTTATCTACCCTATCAGGAGAGATTTACTGGAGCCATATGACAGGACTACTGCTTTCACAGCCGTGATTTCCAACACTGTTCAGAAGCCAGGTTTAGATGCTATTACAGAATCGAAGGTAGCGACCTACTGGGTCTTGTTAGCACCCAGTTAGCAGTTAAGAGATGTAGAAGCATCTGCAGAAAAGACTGCCAGACAAACAAGCCTTGTTTGTAAGGAAAATCTACCATCTGGACACTAATTTACATGAACTGTATTTATTCTAGTCATAAAAACACAGAAAAGCAGGACTATACAGTTACAACCAAGATTAAAAACAATATTAAAAACAAGTCTTACCTTTCAACTGTTTTCTAATAGGTTTGTTTGGTTCAAGCCATCGCTGTGAAATGAAAAACTATTAGATGGATTAAAAATATTTACAAATGAATACTATTTATTTATGTTTGTGTGCATGTATATGTGTGTATACATACATGTGTATGCATGTGTGTGTATATACATATATACACATACACATACTATTTACTATACTTACGTATATACACATACACATGCACACTTTTATTATTTACTATACTTACAGGTGAATCTACTGAAGTTTCATTTTGCTGTAAACCAAAATATTCCTTCTCCATCACACCCAACTGGTTATAGGTCATATCCAACAAAATCTGTCCAGTGTCTTGCTTCTGAAAACAAAAAAAATTTAGAAGTTAACCTCTGCAACACTGACACATTTTAAGGTACAATTAATTGAAATAAATGTTGTGGGGGTTTTTAAATAACTCATGAATAAAAATAGCTGCTAATTCAATGGTTCAAAGTTTATCATCAATAAGAACTCATTTCTGATAAAAGTATCTTTAGTTAGTTTGTTTTCTTAAGAGGATTCCTTCCCAAAATACATTAGGCGTGTGAAATCTCAGCATGAATTGACATGAACTCAAGCCCTTGAGGTCTGTCCAGCAACTCAACTTTAAGCAACCTCTCCCTGGACCACAGTCTGTAGACTGCACAGCCTGCAAGGATGGCTTACAGCCACATGGGGCTGCTCTGGCCTCTACTGTTTTCCACATCAGCTGTCAAAAGGCAAATCCAGTATACACCAGGACAGAGAAAAAAGTGTAGGGTGCTGTGCTCCAGCCATAATATCCTGTCCTTTAGCCTGAACTCCCACCTGCCCCTCAGCTGCCATTCAGCCAGTACGTGCTTTCTGCCTAGACGTCTCTCAAGGCAGGTACCACAGAAGAACTGGTGCAACAGGGAATTATACAGGCAGCAGAGATCCAGAAGTACAAGCATAGTATAATTTTCCCCAAACCAAACAAGTATCTCCATGCCATGACATTGTGGATTAATCAAATTCTGCCAAGGAACACTGTGAACCATTTCTATTAAAAAGTCAAACAAACAAAGAACAAAACCCATAACTACAAAAAGGAACAAACTCCCCTCAAGAACATTGCAATCCTAAATATGCCAATACATAATAAATAGTTTGCAAAGCTGTATGGCACTTTATGTCTAGATTTTCATATGTGAAATTGCTGGACAGAACAAAAATCAGGCAAGTTTGCTTGCTATCTGGTTTATTCAAAAAAATATAGCAAACTAATTTTTCATGCGATCTTCAAAACCTTACTCTTAAAAGCGAAACTAAGATATACATGTGCAAACAAAAATTACCAGAGGGAAGTTATTTAGACTGCAAAGACAATCACTTTGTTCTGAAGCAAATTTCTTAAAAATTAAGTTCTGATTTCTAAAGCAAATTTCTTAATCTTTTGAAACAAAGGACCTCATGTATAAGCATGAAAGTGATCACATTTTTGTGGATGGCCTCTATCTTACTCAGTGCATAAGAATGCCCACTTAATAAGCCAATATTGTATTCAATTCTCTTTATCTAGACCTTGTTTATTATACAACACTCAAGTCTTTGGGTTAATCTTTTTTGCTTTAAACAAGGTACCATACTGTTGTAATTGAGTGCTTTAAATAATAACACATCCCATAGTCTTCCCTTACATCATAGAAGAAATCTTTCTATTTAAAAGATGGGAAAAGAAGGACAAAGATTCAAACAGAAGACACCCACTTGGCTACCTTATTTTGGAGGATGGAATATTATGCAACACTTCCTACTGCTAGATCAAAACTCCCAGTAGCTCATTTGTGATAGGACTGCTCAGTGTTTCCACATCAGGCTCCAGATGTAAGGTACGGTAACAGCCAACTATTGGCCTCCTGTGGAAAACCATGCCAATTTTTTCTGGATCAAAGTCACGTATGAAGAAAACAACATAGGTAGGCAACACTTGACTGTCTTACATATGAGACTACCCTCTCCCCTCAAATAGTCTCTGATCTTGTTTAACCTTCACAACACAAGGTCTTGCAATAAATGTGAGTCCACTCAGGCCTCTAAGTCTGTGCAGCCATCAAAAGCAGCAGCTCTGTCCCCTCTTCCTTCCCTAGCTGCATATTCCTAATCCCCTTCTTCTGAACAGGTTACTGTTCTCTGGGATATTCAAACCACAGCACTGATCAAACCCATTTTATTTTCCTTAAATAGTGTAGACCTAGCGACAGGTAAGGACCACACAACCAAGCATTCCTCGTCATGCACAGCCATGCTGCTGTGCATCTCTGAGGCAGCTCTGTCCAGCACCACCAATGAGGTGGGCTCCGCTATGAAGACCTGAGATTTGCAGTCAAGAGATTATCCGTATGTGTACACAAGAGGGCCCTACGAAAATAGCAGACACCACCTTAACCCTCTGAAATAACGGGCATTTCCTCGTGTGAACATCTTTAGCATTGTCTTACAATACATATCATATTCATTTCCCCAGGGTTGTGTTTCTATAAGCAGAACATTAAAACCCTTTCAAGTGACATCTCATGACACCAGCACTGCTCAGAAGCATAATTGCACATCTATGGTGCATACTTCTGACACGAGCTAAATGAGAAACTGAAGTCATATTGTGACCAAAACCAATTACAGGGGATGAGACATACACTTTGTTAAAAGAAAGTGTTCAGGCATCTCGGGTTTCATTACAAATGGGGCAGGAGAAGACCACAGAGGGCAGATTCTTCTGCTAATTTTCTTTTCTCTCTGCATTTCAGCACTTTCAGCCTCCTTTCTTTGCAACAGCATTATGTCCTAATTCCCTTCTTATTTTTCATGCTTCTGCTCCTTTATCCCAATTCGGATGCCTTCCTCTTCTCTCCCCCCACCTTCTCACAATTGCATGCTCTCCTCTCCCCAGCACACATGAATTGCTATGCTTTCTGTTTCTCTGTGAAGACAAGCAAGCTTCCTGCTACTATATTCTTGCTCAGCAGCCGAAGTGCTCTCTTTGCAACTCTCTGTCCCAACCTTAAACTCAGCTGCTCAGACAGTTCTAGTCTCCTCTGCCTACATACCTACTATTTCCTTCTCTCCACACTTCCTATCAAAACCAGTTTCCAACACTACTTTTCTGTGGCTCCAGTTCTTGCTCTCTGGGAGTAAAAGCACAAAGTTTCTTACACACTGCCTAGATAAAGTACCCACTCCAGAAATCTAAGCTAAGTACAAAATGTCATCTTAAATTGTTAAAGTCTTCTTCAGTTGTTGACATTCCAGAAGTTGAAGGGTTTTGTTTTTCCTCAAGAAGAATCTGTATTTACTCAGCTTTGTCTTTAAAAAACACCTGAATTATTTTTCAGCCTACATACTTGAAAATAAAGTTATCACACAGCTTACACAGCACAATGTTCAACCTATTTTGCACATAAATAGTTTTGAGATCTAGCTGTAAAGTGAGGGAGGCTAAGCATGTCACATTACTGCTTTTGAATTTTAACATCTGTTCCAATACAGTCCATACTATAGTGTACTCTAATAGTACTTGTCAAATACTTTGCAGCACACTATTCTCACTGCCCACCACCATGGGAAGAGGGCAAACCAACATGAACACTGTTCAGTTAAGCCAGGCATTACAACAAAGTTCTCCTTAACCCTGTCAACCATTGCAGCAAGTAGTTAAGGCATTCTTAATAAAGCTCCTGCCTTTCTACAATGAGATAAAAAACCAGAACAACATGCACTTTACACACTAGCCTCTTCTGTTGCAATGACACGAGCTCCTAAGAATTTTATTTTTTCTTTCTTTGCGTGTGGCCATCCAGCCAGTTCTTTATCCTCTGGTCCATCCATCAAATTGGTGTCTCTCCAATTTAGAGACAAGGATGTCGTGTGGGACAGTGTCAAACACTTTGCACAAGTCCAGGTAGATGACGTCAACTGCTCTGCCGCTGTCCATCAGTTCTGTAGCCCCATCACAGAAGGCCACCAAATTGGTCAGGCAGGATTTCCCCTTAGTGAAGCCATGCTGGCTGTCACCAACCACCACATTGTTTTCATTTGCCTCAGCATGCTTTCCAGGAGAATCTGGGCACAGAGGTGAGACTGACTGGTCTGTAGCTCCCCGGGTCTTCCACTTTCCCCTTCTTGAAAATGGGGGTTACATTTCCCTTCTTCCAGTCACCAGGAACTTCACCTGACTGCCACGACCTCTCAAATATGATGGACAGTGGCCAAGCAACTTCATTTGCCAGCTCCTTCAGGACCCACGGATGAATTTCATCAGGTCCCATGGACTTGTGCACGTTCAGGTTCTTAAGGTGGTCTCGAACCTGATCCTCTCCTACAGTGGGCCTAAGGTCTTCATTCTCACAGTCCCTGCATCTGCCTTCCAAGACTTGGGTGGTGTGGTCTGAGCATTTATTTACCAGTGAAGACTGAGGCAAAGAAGTCATTAAGAACCTCAGCCTTCTCTAAATCCAGGGTAGCCAGTTTTCCCAATAGCTTCCAGAGAGGGCCCACGTTGTCCCTAGTCTGTCTTTTATTTGCTACGTACCTATAGAAGCCTTTCCTGTTATCTTTCACATCCCTTGCCAGATTTAATTCTAAGTGGGCCTTAGCTTTCCAAACCTGGTCCCTAGCTTCCCAGACAACGTTCCTGTAATCTTCCCAGGCTGCCTGTCCTCGCTTCCACCTTCTGTAAGCTTCTTTCTTCCCTCTAAGTTTCCTCAGCAGCTCCATATCCATCCATGGAGGTCTCCTACTAAAAAGAAACATTTCCAAGACCTTTGCTTGTTTTCACCTGGAAGTTTTCATTTATTTCATGTTCCTGACATCTACCAATCCTTATTCTGAACTGTTAATAGCTTTGCATCAACCACCATGTAACCACACATTCACCTCCATTTAAATCTTCCTTGAAATATATTTCACCTTATGTTATATAGGCCAGAAATTAATATTTAAAGAAGTCATAGCTAACACCTATTACATTCTGCCTATGCCGCAACAATTTCCCGCTGTATTTAGGGAATTTAGATTAGTCGAGTTTAATTTCTAGTAAGGTACACCATTTTGAAGAGAGAGAACCATTCATTATTTTTAATGTCCAGTACTGCCTAGAACCTGGGGTGATCAAGATCCACTGTCCTAAGTACTGCATTAACCTAAGCGAAGACTGTCAGCTCTTTGAAGTGAAGGTATAAATATGCAAATAATCATTTTCAGTTTGTCAGCTTCTACAAGCGGTACAAAGTGACATTTTAAGAGGAGAGTTCAACATCCGCCTATAGCACATGCCCTTGTCCCTCTCTGCTGCAAGAGCTTTGCCCCCACTTTCTGGCAATGATAACCTCAAAGTTAAGCACCACCTAAGCTTTTGCAAATTTAGTCTCACTTCAGACACAACACCCATTGCCCCTTGTGCTGTTTGAGGTCATCCTTTCCTAATTTAGCCTGTTCAGTTATCTACCACCAAACAGCTTGTGTCCTTTAGTCCCCATATGCCTATAAGCTTGAACTGCTCCGCTTTCTTTCAATTTCCACACTAATTTTACACACAGCTAATTTATTTGCTCTTCTGCTAACTCTGTCCTTTTCTGTTCCCGGAATTTATTTACTCACCTGATACTCTTATTCAGAGCATGCAAGATTTTGTTTAGCTAGAATAAACAGAACAGCCTCTTCTTTCCTCAGGTCCTGACTTTTGCAGAGCATCCTAGTTGTACTTTCTATGCCTGCCTGACTGGAACTTCCTTCTTTTGTCTGTGAGTAGCCAGGATCCATGTGTGACATTCCCCAGAAGATGGCCTCAATGACAAGACCAACACTGTTAGTACTTCCTTGACACTGGCTGAAGACTCCTGTCTGGTGCGTAATAGTGCTCACATCTTTTGGAACAATAACACTATTGTTCCAAAATAGTGTTATTGGAAGCAGCTCAGCCTGCAAACTATCGGTGTTCTCCTCCTCTGTTGTCTGCAACTGAAAATTGAGCTTAAAAAACCACAACATCTTATGAAAGCTATTGAGTTTACACTACTGATTTCCCTCATTGCAATTACTCTTTATTCAAGATAACCTACCTGATACCTCATATTCCTATATCCTTTTTATTGTTAAGGCGTCAAACATTACATTTTTGATTTACTGAAGATTCAATAGCAGCATTTTAATGAAACTGGACAGTCAAGAACCCTATTAATATCCTCCTTTGCTTTTTTTTTCTTCTCCTTTTCAGCAAGATCTGCTGCCACCTCTTGAGCCAAGTCCCTGCTATTCCCATAACTCTTTTAGATCCCATACGCTCCAGTGTTGTATTTTCCTATATAAAGGTCACACAAAATATTTATCCAAGCTCACAGAGTTTTGACCCACTGCATTTCCTCTGTGCCAAAAATGATTTAAAACAACATATACATGAGGTTAGTCATTCCAGTTCTAACTTCAGAAAAATTTCCTCTCCACTAATTCTTTCCTTCAGCATTTATTACTAAGTCAGGCCCCACAAAGGGCTAAGACTAACAAGCCTGCTGTAGGTCAGATCACTTTCTCACTGTCCTCAAAGGCATCATCAAATTTCGTAAGATCTTACTGTTTTGCACTCAGGAGTATACTAATCTCTATCTCAATATAAAGCTAAACACTTGTTGCCAGCCTGAAACTTCATATAGCAGTTCTTTCGACATGGAAGGACACAGATAAGTGCATCTTGTCTTATCAAACAATATCCATCAGGAAAACTTTGTGACAGAAATCCAACAATTCTGCACCCTTGCATTTTACTATGAGTGGCTTAAAATTACGAAACTCACACTCACAAGCAAAAAGAACCTTTAAGAGGTCTATTTCTGCCCATAATTTTAAACATACCAACAGTAACTGTTCTTTTAATTGCAACTATCATGTTCCTTCTCAAATACTGGAAGAAGGAGCTTAACTGAGACAGTAGAGAAGGAAAAACATTCGTTATGATTTGAATTTCAAGTGTCCAACTTCTCTCATTATTACTGCCTAATCATTTTATCTCTAGAAGGAAACCCCAACTTGTTGAAAAGCAAAAATCACAAGTACTAAACCAGAAGCATAACTCAAAGACAGTGCAATACAGTATGGAGCAAAATCGGATCTATAAATCAATGTCTTGATTTGAGAAACAGTTTCTGTAAAGTAACACAGAAAGACTTCACTAGGAGGGAAAATCTGTTCAGGGCAAAACTATTTTTCCTTCAATACATGCCTAGCTGATTCCCAGACTGACCACAGACCTGAGTTACTCTTTGCTCACAGACATAAAACCGAATTATATTGGCAATTAAAATAAAAAACACACGCACAGACAGGCACAAACTTCTCACTGTGCTGAATTTTTCTGTTTAAGTACACAGAACTTAGGTACAAGATGGCTTCAAATCCTTTTGAGAACTAGACCTTGCAACACAACCAGAGTGTGGCAAAGCCTGTCCTTAGGCAGTCAGTCATCGAGGTGAGATAATCAGGGAGGGCCATCCTAGAAGACAAGTGCAGGCTCCCTCAGTAGTCAGTTCCAAGAAGAAAGCTCAGTACTCAAAGAACATAAATGTTCTGGTAATTAATCAAATATTCTTGCATTAGCCCATAACACAGTGTGGTAGCTATGCTCCCCGCTTCTTTTCAATCGAGCAGTAATGGGTCCTGCAGTACCCCTATGACAGTTCAGCATTAGAGCTGCAGTAAAGGAGGCCCTTCCAATTCCTGGATGAAGGAGGTAGCCAGCAGGGATACCCATTGAAGGCAGAGAGAGAAATCAGCTGGGTCTGGAGTTTCAGTGTGATTCACATTTATCCTATTGTATTCACTGCTTAAAGCACAAAATGAGAAGCAAAGTTAACTTGTACGGTGCTGGACTTCAGGCCAAGCACTAAATCTAAAGCTGCGTTAATGCTCATTTACAAGGAAGAATATATTACTATGCATGGATTTCAAAAAGTTTAGAAGTCCTAATTTTTCAAAGATCTTTGTGCAGGGGGGAGGACAATTATGCTAGCTCAGTGATAGACAAGGCAATCTTCTAGAGCATTCTGAAGACAAAAAAAATAAGAATTGTATACTGATGTGGTACCCTTTCTCTTACATACCTATTTTCCTTGTACGCCAGTCCCCAACGTTAGCTACTTCAAATATATACACACACAAAGACATACATAAATATACATATATATAGTAGATAAAATATATACTAAAATGTGAGACTAATTCTGTATATATTAGAAAGAAAAAACAAATCTGTTTATCTACCAATTCATTTCTATTTCAATAAATATCCAACAGACAAAGTTAAAAATTAAATTAGTCTGCAGACAGAACTGTAATAACATTTAGAAAAATACAGTTTTCAGGTGACGTTTTCAATCTCCTACAATAAAGCACTGCATAATATAAGATATCCAACAATGCAGCTTTCTCAGCAAAATGCTTCTTCTCAAATAGGGTAAATTGCGAAAACAAGTATCATAACACAAATTCATGATTATACTTGAATTCATCCACAGGTTTGTTGCATGGTCAGATAATTCTACTGAAAATTGACTGAGGATTGAAGGTATTTCCTTTGTTTTCATTTAGAAAAAGAGTAATTTTAAGCAGTAAAGGTTAAAACCCATAATATTTATAGGATAAAATCCAGTGAAAATGAGGAGTACAAAGCTCCATTAATCCCCTTTCCCTCCCCATTCTCAGACAAAGAGACTGCACTTAAGTACAAAAGACTGAACAGAACTGTCCTACTAAGCCATGACATACTCACTATTCACAACATCTTTACATTTCACAAAACATGTACGGACATCAGCACAGGAGTTTACAAGGCCTCCTCATTTTAGCACTACCAGTGCTTTAATGAAACGAGAAGCACATCCAAATTTGGGAGTTCACTTTATTAATTACTTATTCATAGCTGATAATGATCACCAGATCTGTTTCTTCACCGTTTCCATATCATACAGAAGACCTTTTTTCCAGATACAATCTGCACGCCACGATTTTGTGATGTTTCAGCTGCTTGCCTTTAAAGAAAATTAAAGTAGCACTTCATAAATCTGTTCCAGAACCAGTAATTTTGCAATTTCTAATGGCAACACTGCATCTTCACCATCTTTTGCAAATCCCATGCCACAGGGTCCCACATTGGAAATTCACCTTTCAAGCAAATTTCTATGCATTTTCAAAAAAAAAAGTAGTTTTCCAAACTTACATTAACTTTGAAGCTTTGTACTGAGCCATCCAAAAAGTGAACGTTACAGATTATCTCCGATCGGGTTTTCTCTTTCGATAGTTCTGATGTTCGTATGTTATTTATCCTCCCACCTAAGGCCCGTAAACGGGAGTTCATAACTATTGCCGAATAACCTGTAAAACAAAAATTATGTTTAACAGCAGTTCTTATAATTCGCTATGTTACATCTATGGTTTTGCAGAGAAATACACACAATGAAGACCTTACTACACCCAAATTGCCTATAATAACAAATGCTTCTTATAAAAAAGAGTAAGTTGTAAAATCAGTATGCTATATACCAGAACATAAATGCATATATAGAGGCACTTCCATGTTCCAAATGTGAACTTTCTAAAGGGAATCACAGGTAACCTGCGAAATCTATGCTTATGTCAGGCATCTGACACTGCTTTAGTTTAAATCAGTAAAACACCCACCCAAACACCTACTGTAAACCAGGAAGGCAATGTCGAGACAAGTTTTTATCCTCTGTAACTAGTAAATCCCTCACCCACTTACAGATTTCCTACATATTTCTATATTTACCATACGAGTTTCACTAAAATAAAACAATTTTGTTTACTCTTAACTGACAAAACAGCTTGGTGTTAATACAGATCACATTCTGTCAAATAACATTTTGTTTCAGGAAAATATATATACAGAAACACCATGTGCAAAGCCACCAGAATTAACATTAAAACATGTCAATATTTTACAGCCTAGCATACATAAATTCATTAAGCCGGAAATTTAAATCCAGGAAGAACATTCACACACACATGTACATAAAACAACCAACCAAACAAACAAAAAAAAAAACCCACAACATTTTGGGGTGTTTTGTTTTTTTTTTGTTGTTTTGGAAAACATTTTCACGAACGCCAAACAACCAGGTTTTATGGATGTAAAAGAAAACAAAACAAATCCCAAGCAGAAAAAAAAGCTATTCATTGAAATAAGAGATTAATTAAATACAGTCAAGCCTGTAAACATTTCAAGCTTCTCTTCACTGGATCAGTTTACCGATTAACATCAGAGCATATGAAGCCAGTTGGCAAGCGAAGCAGAGGATAGTTTTCCAGGTTAATTACCATACCAATTATCACATTATACCTCACTTATTAGAGGCTAGCTACAGAGAGACTTGCATAATACGAGTGTTTCCTAGACTGCTGGCCAACCTAGGCAGGGCCAACATCAGGACTATTTTGCAATCTCCCCTTATTTGTGTATCTGCCCTATAATGTAGTCTGGCTTTTCTCTAAAGCAGATAAAGACGCTGAACAATTTAGACTAAAATAAATTCTGAAACATATCTACACATAAATCACTACAAAAAGCAAATGTGAAATGCATGAAAAAAACATGTAAAATTGTACAAAGCACCAGGGGCAACAAAGCAGTGCAGTGATCCGTCCTCACGCAACAATGTGCAATTGTTACAATTGCCTTCTAACAGAAAACTCAGAAGTCAGACACTCAAAAGAATTCAGCCAGTACTCCCTCATACTTTTTTTTGACAGCCAACTGACAGTTTGCTATTGTATATTTTCTAAAATGAAAACTGCAAGTTGCCAAGACTGATTTATTTGGCCAGCATCTTTTCCTAGGAGATCAATAGTATTTTCCTATGATTTCCCAAAGGTGTGGGTTTTGTTTGTTTGCTTTGGCTTTTTTTTGTTTTATTCTGTTTTTAAAGGAGAGAAAAAAAAAAAAGAAGAAATGATTCTTTAAGTGAATTCTAAACAATATTTCCATATAAACCACTATATATTCCTCTGGCTTTGAAACTGTTCTTGATATATGGTCTGCAGTTAGACAAGTTTTATTTTTTTATTATTTATTTGTTAATCCAGAAAATGAGCTTTTTTAATCAGGAATGTTTGTTGATAAGTAAAACGTGCAGTCATCTAATGATCAGGAACATACAGAAGGTGAAGACAGATTGCAACTGTATACAAAGCCTTCAATCGCACATTCTCTAATTTTTTAGCATCTAAGTTTTAAACTATTTATTCAGCACTGTGTTCACCTTATACCAAATAGCCAGGTGACTACACAAGTCTGCACAGTCTTTTCGCCCCTTTTCACCCCCTGAAACAGACAAATAGAATACCCCCGAAATTTTTCACTTGCAGAAATAGCTGTCTACCAACTAGTCCACTGACGGGCAAAAGGAGAAAATTATTCTTCATTGTGGGTCAGCCACTAATTGAGAAAATGTTTTTGGTAGCCACATTCAAAGCTTCGTCAATGTCATGGGGCTCAGTCCACATTGCAATGCCTAATGCTCCTGGAGCTTACAGACACTGCTCTTGGGAAAGCACTATTTGACCTCTCTGCTCATATTCCCCAACCTTTCTCACTTGCTGCCCCCAATATTTCCGATCTTATACTTCCACTGTTCCCTTTTTCTATGTATGTTCTACTTCTGTTCCACCTTAGCTGGGTTCCAGCAGAGAGCAACAACCACAAGGCGTCTTCAACATTCAGCTCCTGATCTGCATGGAGAAAGCAAGAAAATCGCACTCAGCCCCTGCACTCCTAGTGCAGTGTGCTGCAGGATAAGCCATGCTTGGAGACCCTGTGGAAATTTTTATAGTTAATCTTAAGCACACACCAGGAGAGCATTATTTTTTCATCTGTTATAATACAGCTAGATCTTGCCACTCACTTTCTCAAGCTTCAAATATAAAAGCCAATAAAATAGTACCAATAACATTTATATATATGTGCACTGTCTACCCACAGAAAAACCAAAACTAACAAAAACCTGACGAAACCAAACAAAACCCAAAACCGTAAAAAGCCCCAAACTCTTATTGCTGTGAAAAAAAAATAAACCTGAATAAACAAGTTGATGATTTCTATTTAACTGACTGTGCACAGCAGCACAAGTAATTACCGGTCCATTTCATGCCAAGGTCCCTCTCGGTAGAAAGCCTAGCATGTCACCTGGATAACCTAGCCCACACTTGAGGTAGACTTGGAAAGCTAGGTTTAATCTTCAGATTATGTTCCCCTATGTTCTTCATAACTTAAAACCCTAAAATGTAGAAATAGATACATAAGTGGAGAAGACATGAAATTCAACCATTGCCCCTGATAAATCATATTATAGTCTCTCAACCTAAGCCCAGATCTCCATTAAATGCTGTCAACTAGACACAAGAGATGACAGGAATTTCACCCTAAAGCTGTCTGCAACAAGGATGAAATTTCATTTTGAAGTTTTTCACAAAATAACAAGAATTATGAATGCTATCAAAGATCATACAGTGTGCATTGTTATTGCTGAACTCTCACATGTCCTCCAGCAAGTCAGACCTGCTGTTTTCTATACTTGTTAACAGTCTGTCTGGCAGCATCCATAGAAACTACTCAAGAACTAATAGTAATACGTACTTGCATGCTGCTGTTCATTATGGAATCAGAGAGGTGCTTAAGTTTTAGACTAAGATTACAGTTGTTTTTTATGCTAGTTCTTCACAGTTACTTTTGTTTTGATACCTTCAGTTTATATGCTGGATGTCCCAATTGAAACAATAACTTGGAAATTCATCACAAGAAATCCAAACACACTAGTGTGACCAACTCACATTGAGTTCACAAATGAAAACTTGAAATTCCTTGATTTTTACAACTTTATGTAAAATCATACCAGTAACAGAGTGGAAGTTCACAGTTTTTGTTTACAGCATGCAAGGAGCCCCAGCTGAGGCTGTCCCTGACAGAGCCAGCTGATCACGGAAACTGTGCCAAGGCCAGGATAAACAGCTGAATGTTTGGTCATCACAGCCATCAGACAACTGGAGCTCAAATGGCCTAGTCAAGCCCCAGGACACTGCCACCAGCTGTGAATCTCGAGCAGAGAAAGCCAGACTCTCTACTTCCCACCTTCATGGCCCTCAACATTACTCCGCAGACAGTAAACTCCTGAAGGAGCTATTTTACAGATGTCACATCACAGGCACCAGCCTAACATGCCATACAGTCAGTAAGTCGGTAAGGAAACAACTTTATGAATCCCTAGTCTAAAGGGCAGGTGAAGGAGAACAGAAGAGGTGAGCAGCTGAGTTATTAGCACCTGCTCTACTACTTTTCTTCCATATATGACCTGCATTTAAAACTGTATTTTAAATAGACCAAGGCTATAGAAATGGCTTATCAACCCCACTGCAATATAAAAAGGGTATATAGAATCACACAAAGCAACCTGCAATGGCAACTGCATTTCGGACAGGCGAAGGATCATTAAGATCTTAGGCAAGACCAGATGCCAGCTCTAAATACCAGCAATCAGCCTGTAGCCATGAACAACCAGGACCAGCCAACACATGCAAATCACAGCTCCAGCTTTGTAGCCTTGGGCAGGAGGCTAGTTCACAAAACAAACCAACAAAAAACTCAGAGACATATTTAAACATTATCAATAAATGAGTAGTTTAATTATTATTCTGCTTTCCCTAAAATAAACATGTCAAATCCAGGAAGTTGAGAGTTATATTTTAATTTAAAAACCAAATCAAGCAAAACCACCCCCAAAACAGTTATTTTCACCCTTGGGTATAGAACAAAGATGTGGAATTCTATGCTATAATCAAACCATGCAACGGGGTTACAGAAGCAACAACTACAACTACAAAAAGAAGTTAATGTTTTCCAAGCACCTTAAACACATTTCTCGACAAGTTTGGTTATGCATGCCTTCTCCTACAATAACGCTGTAGTCAAGCAGAACAAAAATACCTTGTTTTCCTCATCTTTTGTATTGAAGACTGACTTTTAAAAGGACTTTTTCCATGCCAGCATTTAATTTCTTTCCAACTCACCTATGAATAGTTAGTAAAAGAAACCTATGACCTGATTCTCAGAATAGCTATCATTAATGTGTTTGTTACCAAGGAATTAAAACAAGAGCAGGTTTGCTGAGTATGTACTCATGGACCTTCTACATATAATCACACCATGTATAACTGTGAATAGGGGGTTTTTTGTTTGTTGGGTTTTTGTGTTGTTTTTTGTTTGGTTTTGTTGCTTTTGGTTTGGTTTTGTTTAGGTTTTGTTGTTTGTTTTTTACTTCACTATGAATTATTCACTACCACAATTTC